CTTTGATTTCTTAGGATACAATAGGCTTTACCACACCAGATTAAAACCCAAATCAATCTCCGCCGTTCAAATAATATGCCCTTCGATCTGGTTGCGCCACACCAGATCCTAGCCCATTCAATCCTGACCGTCCGATCAACTTGGAGATCAAACGAATCACAGCAGCACGATCTGTTCATCGGAGATCTAGCGGTTCACAGCCTTCAGATCCACGAGTGCACCATACACGCGTCCACACCAGATCAGAACCCAGAGCTTCTCTCTCCTCTCGCCGACGATTCTCTCTCTCTTCGCGGATCTCCAATTTCCGACCGTCTCAAGCCGTGCAACCACCATAGAATTGTGCATCGCCTCCCCCTGAGCAAAACCCCGGCCGTTTCACACTTTTTCACCGGCTAATTTGGCCGGAAAAAGGACGCGACCGACATCGACCAATCGACCTTCAAGTCGTCGATTCTCCCTCCTCAGCCTTCAACGGCCAACTAGACCACCACCATGAGAATCCTCGTCTTCAGATCTACCAGAATCGACTACCTTTTGGCCGGAACCTCGCGCGTGAACAGTAACCGCGCGTCAACAGTTACCGCGCGTGAGACACACGCGCCGCCAGTGGCATTTTCGTAAATTTTCGATAAATTCGAGGGTATTTCAGTCTTTTACCTATACAGGGGTACTCAGGTAATTTTCTATGATATTTTATGGTATTTTATGATATTTTTATATATAAATACTTGTAAAATTTTGCATGTGAAAAAAAAAACAAAAAAAACAAAAATAAATAACAACGCGGGTTCAACACCCATTTTTATCATATCACTGTTCATAGGTCAAAAGCCCAATTTTCAAGAATCGATATATCTATTTGTGAATGATATCAAAATAATTTTTATTTTATAAAATAAATATTATTTGTCGACACGTCTCTTTTATTTACAGAAAAGGACCGATGTCAAAAAAAAATTTAAATACCAAATATGGATTATGTCCATTATTATTTATTTTGGTAAATTAGACGTAACTCTCCTTTTTAGGGATAAACGTCGACATTTTAGACAAAGTCTCCTAATTTTAGGGACTGATGTCATTTTTAACGCGTCTCCTATTTTTAGGGACCGACGTTAACCGTGTTAAAAAATTTACAAATAAGCTCAAAATATAATAGCATTTGAATTAGATAAGAAAAACACACAAGTTAAAGGTAACCTTTCTCTGAAAGGATGTTTTAAGGGTGGTGTCTACCTTCCCTTAATCATAACTAACCCAGTACCCGAATCTCTGGGACCAGTGTCTAATTTTGGATTTCTAGTTCCCTCAAATTACTAGATGGCGACTCCAATAAAATCTTTATTTCCCCTGATCAAATAAAAAATTAAATTCCTTTTGTTTTTGTTAAAAAACAAACAAAAAAAAGGAGTGGAGCCGTCGCCCGACGTTGTGTAGCGACAGAATGGCGACTCCACTGGGGACTTAGGGTTGAACCAACTGCTTGTGTTTATTTTTCATATGCTTTTTCTTATATGCTATTTATTTTTGGCATTTATTTTATTTACATTATTTATTGCTGTAATTCTTTTCAATTTTTCATATTGCCACATGCATGCATGATATTTATTTGTGTATTCACACACTTCACAATGAACCCATAAAAGCTCTGGACCCGAGCTTCGTCCTTTTTTAAGATTAGAAAAGAAAGCTTCAAGTGGCAAGTGTGACTTATGTCCACTGATGCTCATTTGGACTTTCGCTTGGATTGTAACTCACCCTATGCAACGGGTATTGTGGAATTTTCTCCCATACTCATGTTGCATAAGGTTAAGAGGCCGGTTACTTCACAAGTAATTCGGGCAATTTAAGAACCAAATAATTTCTTTAAGGATAGAATAAACTAAGCCAAACCTTATGAGTTAAATCCTATCAAGTAGGATATAAGACACAAATAAATGTCAATGCATTAACATACATTTTCATATGCATTCCATATTCTCATTATATCTCCACCGATCCTTATAGGAAGTGTGAGATGAAAAAAAAAAAACCAACTTTATTGAGGAATTTTTGACCAGATCAAAATTAAGGCAACAAATTTCTTCCCTCAATCAGTTCAAGTTCCTGTAGGTTTGGAGTCCTCAGTGAGAACTATTCTTAAGAGAATCTGATCTGGTCTATTCCTCATCATAAGTTAAAAGAAAGCCTGAAACAAATAACAAGCATGCATCATGCATATGGCATTTTGCATCCATTTGCACATTTCATTCATTTTTATTGCATTCATTCAGGCTGAAATATAGGTCCCCCAAAAGACCATAAAATTCATTACACTTGACTTCGAAGAAAGATAATGGAGAACGAAGAAAGAGCACATCTAGAGGCTCACTATCAAAGGGAGTTGGAGAGCATGAAAAATGATATCGCAAGACTTACAAGTCTACTCGAGCAGGCCCTGACATCCAAGTCTGGAGAGGATACCTCTACTCAGCCAGCAGTGGCAACTCCATCTGCATCTACGCTAGTAGCTCCTTTCGTGTTCACTTCCCAAAATCTAGGAGCAAATCCTTCTTCATCTGAACAGCAGTTCACTGCCAATGTTCCACCAGCACAAGTGCCGATCATAAACTTGACAGCTGATGACTCACATAAGATGAGATACTCTAAACCTGTTGATTATGACAAACTGACCGCTCTAGAAGAAAGATTGAGAGCAGTCGAAGGGGCAGACTTATATGATCCTGTTCATGCTGCAGAGATGTGTTTAGTCCCAAATGTAGCTATACCCAAAGAATTTAGGGTACCGGAATTTATCAAGTATATGGGAACTGAATGCCCACTCACTCATCTTAAATCTTATTGCAATAAGATGGCAGAAGTGGTGAATGATGAGAAACTTCTCATCCATTTCTTTCAAGACAGTCTTTCTGGATCAGCACTAAGTTGGTATACAAGACTAGATAATACTAAGATCAGAAAGTGGAAAGATTTGGTCAAAGCTTTTGTGGAGCAGTACAAATTCAATATGGAGGTAGCCCCGGACAGGTCAAACTTGTTAGTCATGGAGAAGGGAAACAAAGAGACTGTAAGAGAATACGCTTTGAGATGGCGTGAAAAAGCATCCCATGTGCGACCCTCTTTGTTAGAAAAAGAAATGGTCACTCTGTTCACCAATACTTTTAAATCTCCCTACTTTGAACACCTAGTGGGTAGTTCAGCTCAGCATTTTTATGATGCTGTAACTATTGTTGAGAGGATAGAACAAGCAATAAGAATGGGGAGAATGTTAGAGCCTACTGAGAAGAAAGGCTTTATCGGGAAAAAGAAGGAGTCTGAGGTAAACAATGTGGAAGGAGGGGACAAAGGGAAGAAGAAAAATTACCATCACTATAACTTCCAAAGACCTCCCCAACAAGTTGCAAGTGTAAGCTGCACTAACCCTTCCCCTACCAACCAGCAAAACCAACCAAATGACCAACAAAGTAACCAGATTGTTAATCCTCCAAGAAGGAATTTTCAAAGAACCCAAGAACGATTGCCACCATTACCACTTCCCTTGGGAGAAATGTATTCGAAGTTGTTGAGTATTGGGCAAGTGGCCCCTGTTCCTTTAACCCCACTACAACCTCCATACCCAAATTGGTATAAGCCTGATATGACATGTGAATATCATGCTGGCATTGCTGGGCATAACATTGAAAGCTGTAATGCATTCAAAAACAAGCTCCTTCAATTGATAAAAGCTGGATGGATAACTTTTGATGATGCACCGAATGTGAATTCCAACCCTTTACCTAATCATGCTACAAGCAGTGGAGGGGTGAATGCTATCGGAGTAGAGGGTAAGAAGGAAAGAACTTTGAAGGTTTCCATGGAAAAACTATACGGTATGATGGTACAGTCTGGATATTTATCCGAGTTTGAACCAGTAATGAATGGAAATAATTACTGTAAGTTTCATGCCAAGGTGGGACATCACATTGATGATTGCGAAGAATTTCACCAAAGAGTGAAAAGGATGCTGATTTTCAGCATGATACGGATAGAAAGTGAAGAAGAAAGCAGTGAAGTGGGGATGATAGGCGGCCAGGAGAAAAAAAGAGAGGTTTGTAGACTCCAACCAACTGTGGGTGGTCCGCCAAAACTAATCCTAATCAAGCCTGTATGTACCAATAATGGAAGTTATGGAACAATGCCTTACAATTATGGGTATACTTTCAACGTTAAAAATCCTACTCCTGTCTTCCATACAGAAATCGGTGGTTTAACTCGAAGTGGTCGTTGTTTTACACCAGAAGAATTAGAGAGGCAGAGGAAAGCTAAAGGAAAAGAAACAGTTGAGGCTTTTAAAGATATGGAAGTGAACAAACCCATAAGTGAAGAGGAGTCTAATGAATTTCTGAAGTTGATGAAGCATAGTGAGTATAGTATAGTAGATCAGTTGAAGAAAACTCCTGCTAGAATCTCTTTAATGTCACTTATCTTGAGTTCTGAGTTACACCGTAAAGCGTTGCAAAAGGTGTTGAATGAAGCATATGTGCCACAGGATATTACTCAGGATACAATGGAGCATTTGGTGGGAAGAATTCAAGCCTCCAATTACTTATATTTCACTGAAGATGAGCTAGACCCGGAAGGGACTGGGCATAACAAGCCCTTGTATATCACTGTGAAATATAAGGACTGTCTGATTGGCAAAGTGCTTGTGGATAATGGTTCAGCTTTAAATGTGCTACCAAGGTATATGCTGGATGAGATGCCAATTGATGCTACTCATATGAGGCCAAGTACTATGACGGCTAGAGCATATGATGGTTCCCCTAGACAAGTGATAGGGACCATTGATATTGAATTGTTTATAGGGCCTCAGATGTTTTTGATAACCCTACAAGTGATGGATATCCATCCTTCCTATAGCATGTTATTAGGAAGGCCATGGATACACGCCTCTGGGGCTGTGACATCATCTCTACACCAATGCCTGAAGTACATCATCAATGGTACTTTAGTGAAAGTTAAGGCAGAAGAAACCTTGTCCATGATAAGGAATGTGGCGGTCCCTTATATTGAAGCAGAAGATTGCAAAGATGGAGATCTCCATGCCTTCGAGATTGTGAACACCGAATGGGTACCGGAGAATACTGTGTTAAGAAGACCAGCTATTTCTAGTACTGCTAGAATGATAGCTAAATGCTTTTTAAAACATGGGCTGCCATTCCAGAATGATCTAATTGCTGGAAATCATAAAAGAGTCAACATGATGAAAATTAAGGTCGTTGATCAGACGTTTGGGCTTGGCTTCAAGCCTAAGAAAGATGATCATAAGAGAACTGCTAGGATAAAGCGAGAGAGAAGGTTGGCCAGAATAGAAGGAAGAAAGCCAGAGGAAGAAGACATTGCAATCCCACCTATCCATGTTTCTTTTCCAAAGTCAGCATATGTGATGAAACCTGAAAACATGATGGAAGTCTTGGGACAGAAACTTGCTGTCATGGATATCAACAATGTAGAAGAAGGTGAAGAGAAAGGCTGGAACTGTGATGATGAGCCAATAATAATAAAAGAAGATGAATTGTTACCACAGTTAACTGTCCATGCTCTAGAAGAAGCTCCAACCAACGCTTTTGTGCGAAAGCTTTCAGTTGAAGAAGTATTCCAGAATTGGGAGATTGAAGAAGCCCCAATTGTTTTCAAGAAGTAATGATTAAGTGTCTACTTATATTTGCTTTTATGTGCTTTGCATTGTAGTTTGCTTTGTGTTTTTATACCTAGTTGGAAATCTTGGTTCAAGATGACAACATAAGGTCTTTTCATAATTGTTGAGCCAACTTTCAAAATAATATTGAGATCAAGCATTTTCATCAGTATTTGTTGAATTCCTTTTATTTTGTTCGGCTACAAGATATGCATTCCCACTAAAAAACACCTTCCGCTTTCAGGAATTCTGAAAGTGAATCCTCCATAAATCCACAAACATATTGCATTGAAAATGAATGGCCAAACTTTGATAAGGATGAGATTGCAATGGATGAAGAGGAATGGGATGAAGAGTTTGCTAGACGGGTAGAACAGTCGGAGCATGTTTGGAAACCTGCGAAGGAAGAACTAGAGGTGATAAATGTAGGCACCGAGCAAGATAAAAGAGAGTTAAAGATTGGAACTCTGATCACTACAGAAGAAAGATGCAGTTTAACCTCATTACTACAAGAGTATATCGATGTGTTTGCCTGGTCTTATACAGATATGCCTGGTTTAGACATTGATATTGTAGTACACAGATTACCTTTGATAGAAGGATGTAAACCTGTTAAGCAGAAATTAAGAAGAACTCGCCCAGATATTGTGCTCAAAGTCAAGGTAGAGATAGAGAAGCAGTGGGATGCCGGTTTTCTAGAAGTTATTAAATACCCTCAATGGGTATCTAATATAGTGGTGGTACCAAAAAAAGATAACAAAATCAGAGTATGTGTAGATTTCAGGGATCTAAACAAAGCCAGTCCGAAGGATGATTTTCCTTTGCCTCACATAGATGTCCTGGTAAACAATGCTGCTAGGAGTTCAACTTACTCCTTCATGGATGGATTTTCCGGTTATAACCAGATTAAAATGGCTGAAGAAGATAAAGAGAAGACCACTTTTGTCACACCATGGGGAACATTCTGCTACAAAGTGATGCCATTCGGGTTGAAGAATGCTGGAGCCACGTATCAAAGGGCAATGGTGACACTTTTCCATGATATGATGCATCAAGAGATTGAAGTGTATGTGGATGATATGATTGCCAAGTCTAAGAATGAAGAAGATCATGTTCAGGTTCTAAGAAAATTATTTGAAAGACTAAGAAAGTATCAGTTGAAGCTGAATCCTTCAAAATGCTCGTTTGGGGTAAAGTCTGGAAAGTTGCTAGGATTTGTGATAAGCAATAAAGGAATAGAGGTCGATCATGATAAAGTGAAAGCAATTCAGGCTATGACGGTTCCTAAGACCGAGAAAGAAGTAAGAGGTTTCTTAGGACATTTGAATTACATTGCTCGATTCATAGCTCAGTTAACAGCAACATGTGAGCCAATTTTTCGATTACTTCGAAAAAAGAACCCTGGTACATGGGACAAAGATTGTCAAGAGGCTTTTGATAAAATAAAGCAATACTTACAGAATCCACCTTTGCTAGTGCCCCCTGTGCCTGGAAGACCTTTGATCTTGTATTTGACAGTAACTGAGGTAGCAATGGGTTGTGTGTTGGGACAACATGATGAGTCTGGAAGAAAGGAGCAAGCTATCTATTATCTGAGTAAGAAGTTTACAGATTATGAATCCAGATATACTATGACTGAGAAGCTATGTTGTGCTCTTGTATGGAGTACGAAGCGTCTTCGACAATATATGTTGTATTATACCACCTGGTTGATCTCAAAAATGGATCCTCTTAAATACATCTTTGAGAAACCCTACTTGTCAAGCCGAATAGCAAGATGGCAAGTGATGTTGGCTGAGTATGACATTGTATACAAGACAAGAAAATCTGTAAAAGGAAGTGTAATTGCTGATCATCTAGCAGATAATGCTATCAATGACTATAAGCCTTTGAAATTTGACTTCCCGGATGAGGATGTGTTGATAGTAGAAGAGGACAAAGAAAAGAATGATTGGTGGATCATGTATTTTGATGGGGCAGTGAATGTTTCTGGTAATGGAGCAGGCGCTATGATAATCTCACCTGACAAGAAGCAATATCCCGTCTCAGTCAAACTACAATTTGAATGCACTAACAATACTGCTGAATATGAGGCTTGTATCCTTGGATTAGAAGCTGCTTTGGAGATGAAAATAAAGAAGCTTGATGTCTATGGGGATTCAATGTTTATAATCTGTCAAGTGAAAGGCGAATGGCAGACCAAGGAGGAAAAATTGATACCATATCAACAATATCTCTCGAAACTGACTGAGGGCTTTGATGAGATAGATTTTACCCACATGGGAAGAGACAAAAACCAGTTTGCTGATGCTTTGGCAACCTTAGCTTCTATGGCCAAAACTGATTACGGAGTAAGAGTACAACCAATCTGCATTGAGATTAGAAATTTTCCAGCTCATTGTTGTTCAGTTGAAGGAGAAATAGATGGGAACCCATGGTTTTATGACATCAAGCAGTTTATCCAATATCAAGAGTATCCCTTGGGGGCATCCAAAGCAGATATGAAGACCTTGAGAAGGTTAGCTCTGGAATTTTACTTGGATGGAGAAATTCTATACAAAAGGTCATTCAATGGGACTTTACTGAGATGTCTAGATGAAATCGAAGCTAAGGTAGCATTGCAAGAAATTCATGAAGGAATTTGTGCAACTCATGCAAGTGGTCATATGATGGCTAGACAATTACAACGATCTGGGTATTTTTGGATGACCATGGAGAAAGATTGCATCGATTATGTTAGGAAATGTCATAAATGTCAAGTATATAGTGATAAGATAAATGCACCTTCAGCTCCTCTATTTAATATGACATCACCATGGCCATTTGCAATGTGGGGAATAGATGTGATTGGGCCAATCAACCCAAAAGCCAGCAATAAGCATCAATTTATCTTAGTAGCCATTGATTACTTCACAAAGTGGGTGGAGGCCAGCTCTTATGCCCATGTAACTCAAAAGGTGGTAAAGAGTTTTATTGAGAAAGATTTGATCTGTCGGTATGGTTCACCTGAGAAGATAGTGACCGACAATGCCCAGAATTTTAATGGAAAAATGATCACAGAATTGTGCGTGAAGTGGAAGATTAAACATTCAAACTCATCTCCTTACAGACCAAAGATGAATGGTGCTGAAGCTGCAAACAAGAATATCAAGAAGATTATCCAGAAGATGGTAGTCACTTACAAGAATTGGAATGAGATGCTTCCTTTTGCTCTACATGCATATCGCACAGCAGTAAGAACATCTACTGGAGCTACACCTTATTCACTAGTATTTGGGATGGAGGCGGTGATGCCTTTGGAAGTAGAAATTCCATCTTTGAGAGTACTAATAGAATCTGAACTAGAAGAAGATGAATGGGCTAAAGTGAGATATGAGCAGCTAAACATGATAAGTGAGAAGAGGTTAGCTGTAATTTGTCATCACCAGCTATACCAAAGAAGGATGGCCAAAGCATATGACCGGAAAGTCCGACCAAGAGAATTCAAAGAAGGGGATCTTGTACTCAAAAAAATCTTACCACTACCAAGTGAAGACCGAAGCAAGTGGGCACCAAACTATGAAGGCCCATATGTAGTGAAGAAAGCTTTCTCCGGAGGGGCTATGTTGTTAACTAGGATGGATGGAGATGATTTACCTAGGCCCGTGAACTCTGATTCTGTGAAAAAGTATTATGTATGATGTATTTCATCCAATCAAAATCAAATGAAATGAAGTTTTGGCCAGGAAATTCTCTTTGCATATACCTCACCAAAAAGCCCATGCATGATCTCAATGGCTCAACAATCTGATCTTTCAAATGTTTTTTTTACAAGAGAACCCATTCTTCTTAAATGAGGTTTTAAAAGAATTGATTTTGTTTATGATTTCAATGAAATAAATCAATGATTGCGCCACGTCAGCAGGTATACCGAGCACTCGGTACACCGCGCCACACCAGATCCTAGCCCATTCAATCCTGACCGTCCGATCAACTTGGAGATCAAACGAATCACAGCAGCACGATCTGTTCATCGGAGATCTAGCGGTTCACAGCCTTCAGACGCACGAGTGCACCATACACGCGTCCACACCAGATCAGAACCCAGAGCTTCTCTCTCCTCTCGCCGGCGATTCTCCAATTTCCGGCCGTCTCAAGCCGTGCAAAATCAAGAAGATTATCCAGAAGATGGTAGTCACTTACAAGGATTGGCATGAGATGCTTCCTTTTGCTCTACATGCATATCACACAGTAGTAAGAACATCTACTGGAGCTACACCTTACTCACTAGTATTTGGGATGGAGGCGGTGATGCCTTTGGAAGTAGAAATTCTATCTTTGAGAGTACTAATAAAATTTGAACTAGAAGAAGTTGAATGGGCTAAAGTGAGATATGAGCAACTAAACATTATAAGCGAGAAGAGGTTGACTGTAATTTGTCATCACCAGCTATACCAAAGAAGGATGACCAAAGCATATGACCGGAAAGTCCGACCAAAAGAATTCAAAGAAAGGGATCTTGTACTCAAAACAATCTTACCACTACCAAGTGAAAACCGAAGCAAGTGGACACCAAACTATAAAGGCCCATATATAGTGAAGAAAACATTCTCCGGAGGGGCTCTGTTGTTAACTAGGATGGATGGAGATGATTTACCTAGGCCTGTGAACTTTGATTCTGTGAAAAAATATTATTTATGATGTGTTTCATCCAATCAAAATCAATTAAATGAAGTTTTGGCCAGGAAATTCTCTTTGCGTATACCTCACCAAAAAGCTCATGTATGATCTCAATGTCTCAATGAAGCAATTCCCTTGAAAGAGATGACCATACAAGTCAAAAACATATAATTGGAACAACTATCACTCAAATTCTGTCTTGGACTGACATTTTATCAACATGAATAATGGTTGGTAGTATATTAGCTTGTCATCGACTCGCAAAACATGGTATCTTATAAATCCAAAGCATTATGCTGGATGTGGACAAAGTTAATTGGTTTTAACTGATCTTACTTGAAATGAGGAAAGACCATCTTTGATATTCCTTTCACTTTGTTTTTAAATTATCCTTTGCAGTCCCAATTTGAGCCGAGTCTATTTAAAGCTTTTTCTTTTATAAGAACCTTAACTAAGATCACACCCTACACTAGGGGTAAAAAGAAAGAAATGATCATGGAAATCATCTTGAAGACATGTGAGCTTATGAAGTCTGACAACAAGGAATTCAACAAAAAATTTCAAATAATTGAGAGAATTCCCAACAAATAGAAAAAATTCCTAATTTGGAATATTTAGTATCATTTTGATGTCAAGATAGCAAAAGAAAAGACGAAGATAAGATAACAGTGATCTATAGTTTTTAAACCCTTAAACACTTTTTTGAGCTTATGAAATACTCTTTCTTTTACAGCCTTGAGTTATAAATACATTCCAGAACCTTCCTTATCCAGTAAATAGTTAAAAAGCCCTAACTTATAAAGCTAGAGTACCTTATACTCGGAGTCTACCCTTCTACCAACAAGAAGCTAGGTTGTTTTACTCTCTTTCTAATAACAATTACAAATGGGAAGCAAACGTGTTTTCCCTTATATAGAAGAATAGATCGGGTCTTTGCCAGTAGTGCCATCCTCCCCGCTGGCGATGTTACCTACCATTCCGATCATTACGATAGCAAGCCCCTCCCCGGCAGGAGTTTGACTTGGAGGCGGCGATCAACCCTCTCCTGGATAACAACGAACGAGGATGAAAAGCAATAGTCTCCATAAGTCAGAAGCATCCAGCAGCGCTGAGAAAGATAAAAAAAAAAAAAAACAAGCAAAGCTCGGGACATTCAATAAGATATTATGTGCCTTTAAAGTCCTTTCTAATCAAGAAAGCAACATGGATCAATAAACAACGTTCTCAAAATATAGGATACTTTTTCATAAAGAGTCATGACGTAGCAAATAATTACTCATTATTATTCATGTTGTTAAAAGGAGTGTTTCTAAAAATAAAAGGCAATTGTTCCTTTTCTCTCAAAATACATTCAAGTAATCATTTGAACACTTTGAAAACCAAAGCAGAAGGTCATCTCATCACTTACCTTCATTTGAGATTACTTTTACTAAGAGATTTAATACAAATCCTTAGAGTTGCTTAAACATTGTTATAAACAGACATTAAGAGTTTTAGTTTTCAAAAACAAAAGAGATCTTTTGAAAAATTATTTTTGAAAAAATGGTTTTCTATGTGAAGAAGACAGATATATGACACACCAAGAGGCAGTATTAGAAAATCAGAGATTCTAACAACAACAAGAGCAAAAGAGGAAATGGAAAGAGACAGTTAATTCTTCTAAGGGTAGAGAAGCAATCACCAGAAATCTTTCAGAGGTAGAAAAGTAGTCACCAGATTCCTAATAGCACAAAGAAATTTGCTTCCCTAGTGGGAGATACACATGATAAAACTGTAGACTTCTTCCAGTATGGGATTGAAATAGCATGATTATGCAGTTTCTATGAAATGAGATTATTGCCTCTCATAATATGATTAGTTAGACAATATGATAATTGATACATCCTCAGATATGAAAATCCCAGGTGAAGCGGGATAATCCTCATATATTGACAATGTGACGTGGTTAAAGAATCCTTAACAATGGGAATGTTACCAACAACACAATGTCGGGCCAGGGAGAAGCTAATGCTCTCAACGAAGTAATCAATGGAGAAAGAGGTAGTGACTATTAGGAAACTCAAACGAAGTTTATCTTAAAGAACTAAACAACATGGGTCAGCTTGAGTAGATTTGAAAGACGCGTGAATCAAAAGAGCTTACTAAAATTCAAGATCGCCAAACAAGTTGAATGGGGGATCTATATTTCAAAAAGGTAAGATGCATTGCATATCATCTAACTTCACAAGCATTGCATATTTGTCTTGTAGATATTTCTTGAAACAAAATTCCCAACGGGATCCAATGACATTCAAACAAAATAAAGTTCTTCTAATCACATCAAATATGGCAATTTCATGAAAGTAAAATTCATAAATGAAGACAAGAAAGATGGATTTTTTTATTCATGACAAAAGGTTTAAAAGTACAAATATTAAACAGTGCAAGGACGATCAGGGATATTGTCATCTTGACCATTAATCATGCCTCAAGCATGAAGACGCTCTGCAACGTTCACCAAAGATAAAGTAGCTCTAATACTGAGAGCATGTGACTGATTCACTGCTTCAATATTGCTTTTAACTGCCAACATTGCTTCATCATGAGGAAGGACCATGTCTCTAGCCACGGATACAGCAGTATCTTCATTGTCCATTAAAGTATCTTCTATTGTAACTAAACGACCATTCACTTAATCTGAAATCACTTTTATATATTTCAGGAAACCATTGTTGAAATGAATTTCATGTATTTCATAAAACCATTGTTGAAATCACTTTCATGTATTTCACTAAACCATTGTTGAAATCACTTTCAGGTATTTCACAAAATCAAGATTGAAAACACTTTCATGTTTTTCACTTGGGCACGTCGCCCATACGAATTAAACCAACTAAAAAATATGTGTGTTTTTCAACACCTC